TGGCTTGGAGAGGGAAATCCAGCAGCTCCCTATCCAACCTGCAACCATCATCCATACAGTTGTGCAGAAACCAGGAGATGGCACAAAACCTGATCTGCCTCTTTGGCTGGCAGAGCCACGTATGTTGAAATCCAACTTCAGGAGAGATTTTAGCCAGCCCTGCATTCACCGTGTGCTGCCAAGGCACCAAGATGCCAAAGAGTTTTGGGCAGAGACTGTAACTTAGTGTTGCTGCCAAGCACTTGACAACAGACCTCAGAAAACCATTCTCTCTGGGCTGGCCACCCATCACAGCAGAGGAGCTGAGGCTCATCTACTCCTTCGTCCTTTGAGCAACCTCCTGTTTTTGCTTGTGAAATGCAGGGACATCTGCATGTGTTGTGTGCACAGGAGCATGTGAGCCCCTGCTCTACCAATTGTCAGTCAATACCTTTAGCAAGAATGACACTATCATACCTCAGAAGGGAAAGGTGCCTTTCAGTTTGTGTCATTTAAAGGTGTGAGGTATCTGAATGGCACCTTGAAAATCATACGGTGGTGATTTACGATGCTTTTTTTATCTAATATGTAACACACCTAAGAACCTTACCCTTGAACCACAGAGGAACAAACTCCAAATTATTTCCTGTTCCTCTGTACTGCATCACTCACTTCACTGGGAAAGATCAGCATTTCTGAGCAGAAGTCACAGAAACCTAGAACCTCTTTGCTAATGGCCTTCAAGTGGGATGCCATTATGGGAAAGGCTTAATTCTCTTGCCTCCCATCCTGGTGAGGTTGTAGAGCAGACTATCTCTGTCCTCTCAGTCTTTGGCAGTGCTGGGACCAGGCCGCAGGTCCTCCAGAAATGCAGACATGTGTGTGTGACACCCCAGAAGGAAGTCCTGCATCCTCAGCAGCACGAATTATATCTAAAGCAAGAGCAGGAAATCCTCCAGACTTATGGTGCAATAACCACTATACAATAGCTGTCAAGGGCAATGCAAAACACATCTATGTGTAGTTGTTTTCCAGCACCCTGTTAAACAAGCCCACAACTTGGTTGCCTGCTGGACAGCAGGGAACTTAATGCCCAATGCAGGAGGTTATTTAGAGATCTCATACTGTGCCATCGGCTGCTGAGCTAGCACATGCTGCTAAATCTGAGCCGGCAGTGCAATTGCAGTAATTCCCAGAGCAGTTTACTCAATGCTTATTCCAGTAACAAGGCAGAAGGAGGGGGGCTGCTAGTGGTAAGAAATCCAAAACTGCTGCTGCTGTATTTCGTAGGATAGGGCAGAAGATAAAATTAATCATCTCATCTGCATACCTGTTTTACTGCAGGCCATTAAAACTACCAGTTACTCCTGTGGTGAGTCCAGCACACTGAATACTTTTTTATCTGATCAGGCCACATTTTCTATTAAAAAGCAGTCAATTTTGATGAGAAAGTCTGGAAGAGGTCCTTGGATATCTATCTTGGATTTATAATATCCATTTCATGGTACCTCATATTTAGCAGACCCAGGAAACTGCTTCAATACTTTGATGCCTCTCTTTTTTTCCGATGCTCAACACAAACTACCATAATGCTGTGAAAATGAAGGTTAGTTTGATTTTGTTTTCTTTCTCCAAACAGCAAATAATGCAGTGACAGATGTTATGGTCACCAAGCAAAATCTTGTGCTGTGATTAGCTATTATTAGCATGTCTCTAATCCCCATAGGATTAAGTGGTCACCTAAGCATGGCTTCGAGTGTCACCTATGTCTCACACGGACATAAACTAATCTGTTTTGTTGGAAACAGATGAAGTGATAAGCGTTTCGAAGCCCTTCTAATTTGCAGAAAACACTGCAGTTTGTTCTCTCTCAAATCCCCATCAGGGTGGAAAAGCACACTTCTACACTCAAATTCAGTGTTGGGAGTCCTTTGAAAATCTAGCGGGCATTTAGACCTCAAAAAAGCAGTTTAAGAAGTTACTTTTTATGTCACTCTGTAAGTGGTCAAGCATTTTAAAGAAATTAAATGGGCTTTCTGGTGCTTTTTTGTTTTCTTCTCTTGAAGTAAATGCTGCTGCTGAAGAAGACAAAAGCAAAAGAGCATATGCCAGGGGAACTGAAGGCAGGCAGCACAGTGTGTGTGCAAGGCCCTAGGTAACGAGCTGTGCCTGAATTAACAGAGCTGGTTATCTTCATGCTTGGTGCTGGAGACCTCCAGCCCTGTGCAATCCTTTCAGGGACCCTGCTTATCCCTGGAGCTCAGTACATATGGTGAGCAGACAGCTGTAGCTGAAGGATTAGTTCAGCAAACAGCTGTTTGGCATCTTTCTAGAAAATTAGGCCAAGGGGTCCAGGCAGGACAGGGTAGATTCACATTGTCCAGGACGTGAAGCACCTGGTACATCGTCTCAGCAGCTGGGTGTGTGCCATCTCCCTATATCTCCAGGTCTTGGTGTCCCTGGACAAACCCAGCCAAAATGCTCAGGGAGAAGAAAAAGCCACTGTGCATAACACTACCCAGCCCCAAAGGACTCCACCTGCCCCAGAGAAAGCCAATTATACAGTGACAAGAGTGCGGTATGTGATGATGTGGCCCTACCATGGCTGGGGAGAGCATGGAACTG